TGCGGAATCCCCAGGCGACACGCGGCCCGCTGCTGCTGGTGGCACAATCCTGAGGCCGATCCTGCCCACAGAAGATCTGGCGCGCGATCCCGCGGTGCAGGACGTTAGATCTTCTGTGGTGGCCACGTCTGCTGCGCAAGTTATTCCTCGACGCCATACACGGTCACAATCAGGTATTACTAAGGAAAAGGAATACAAAGATGGCACCATTAGGTATGATAAAAAAACGTGCTTTTCTCAGTACTACTGGTGAACCAGTTAATCTTGTTGATGCCCTTGCTCACAAAGATTGGAAAGAGGCTATGGATAGTGAGTATGATGCACTTATGAAAAATAAAACATGGCACCTAGTACCATCAAAAAGTGGAATGAACGTTATTGATTATAAATGGGTGTACAAGATAAAAAGGAAGTCAGATGGAAGTATAGATAGGTACAAGGCTAGATTAGTTGCTAAAGGTTTTAAGCAAAGGTTTGGAATTGACTATGAGGATACCTTTAGTCCAGTTGATAAATCAGCCACCATTCGACTTGTCTTGTCTATTGCTGTTTCCAGAGGTTGGAGCTTAAGACAGCTAGATGTTCAGAACGCGTTTCTTCATGGTGTTCTTAAGGAAGAGGTGTTCATGCGGCAGCCACCAGATTATGAAAACAAAGGTACACCACACTATGTTTGTAAATTGGATAAAGCTTTGTATGGCTTAAAACAGGCACCAAGAGCTTGGTATTCGCGATTGAGCATGCAACTACAACAACTTGGGTTTGTACCATCCAAGGCAGATACATCCTTGTTCTTTTACAATAAAGGAAATGTCACAATTTTTGTGCTAGTCTATGTTGATGATATTATTGTTGCTAGCTCAAGTTCAAGTGCCACCACTTGTTTGCTTAAAGATCTCAAGTTGGAATTTGCTCTCAAAGACTTGGGAGATCTTCATTATTTTCTTGGTATTGAGGTCAAGCAGATAAGAGATGGTATACTTCTGACACAGGAGAAATACACAGCTGATATACTCAGGAGAGTAGGCTTGGAAAAATGTAAACCTGTGATTACACCTATCTCAACTTCTGAAAAACTTTCTGTTGAAAGTGGAGAGCAACTTGGGTCAGAGGATGCAACAAATTACAGGAGTGTTGTGGGTGCATTGCAATATTTGACACTTACACGCCGTGACATTTCTTATGCTGTCAACAAGGTATGCCAGTACTTACATGCTCCTAGTACTACTCATTGGACTGCAGTTAAAAGAATTTTGAGGTACCTTAAGTTTTCAGCGGGACTTGGACTTCAAATTACCAAGTCTTCCTCTATGCTTGTTACTGCCTACTCTGATGCAGACTGGGCAGGATGTATTGATGATAGAAGGTCAACTGGTGGGTTTGCTGTATTTCTGGGATCCAATCTTGTGTCATGGAGTGCAAGAAAGCAGGCTACAGTCTCTAGATCAAGTACTGAGGCTGAATACAAAGCTTTGGCAAATGCCACAGCTAAAGTAATGTGGATACAAACACTGCTTTATGAACTTGGAATTAAGACTCCAAAAGCAGCCAGATTATGGTGTGATAATATTGGTGCAACATATCTGTCAGCCAATCCTGTTTTTCATGCACGCACAAAGCATATTGAAGTTGATTTCCACTTTGTCAGAGAAAGAGTAGCTGGGAAGCTTCTCGAAATTCAGTTCATTCCTACTGGAGATCAACTCGCTGATGGATTCACAAAGCCTCTCACTATGAGGAGGTTAGACGAGTTCAAGTACACTCAACCTTGGTCGATGATCATGAGGTTTAGATTGAGGGGGAGTGTTAGAATAGGATAGTTTCATTCAAATTGTAATCTATCTCTATCTTGTTTTCCTCTCCTCGTTAACCTCCTGTACCGAACTAACTTGAGATCGATCTCCTGATCTCTATCTTGTACTCCAAGGCATTGCCACTATATATAAACATGCGGCCTGAGACAAAGGGTTCAACGCTTCCAACCCAATTTACAACTAGATCTGGTGTTGGCAGTGGCTTCGGAGATGTTGTACATGAGTTTGTCACCACGTCAGTGGCGGCATTTCTCTGGGAGCAGTCCAGGTAGGGATTGCGGAAGGTAGACGTGTAGAGGGGACTCTAACGTTTTCCCATCACTCGATCATGGGAAGGTGGTGACTCAAGGATATAAAAGGTATGAGGCGACCAGCCGCGTCCTCAACAGACTCTTCTCAGGCGTTTTTGCCGCGCCGGCGTCAAAAAACGGCTCAGTCGTGCCTTCAGTAGCCCGTTTTTCGCCGGCTTGGGCCGAAACTGACGCCGGCGGACTCAGGCCGAACCCGGCGCGCTGGGGGGAGGGGGGCGCCGGGGCGAACGGTTTTGGCACGAAAGAGCCGCGGGCCAGCCGCGTCAGCGAGACGACGCCTTGTCTTCCCCCAGCGTGCCTCGGTTTCCCGCAGGGAATCAATGGCAAGGCTGCCGTCGGTCAGCTTTCCATTGATTCCTCACGGGCCGGCGCATCACGGGCGGCGCGGTGACGCCTCCCCTCCCGCTATGCGTACACATGGCGCGGGCTATAAAGACCCGCCGCTCCCCCTCGCCGCTGGCCACACCATCACGAGCCCAAACCAGCTTCCATCAAGCTCTACTCTCTCCCGTCCGCGCTGCCGAGCTCTACCTCCCCCCGTCCTCCCCTTCCCTCCAGCGGTGGCCGAACGCTTCCCCGGCGACGCCGCGGCGGCCAACAGCTTCGGCCGCCGCTCGCTCCAGTCGTCGGAGGCATGGCTTCTGTTTGAGGCCAACATCCCAGGGCCGCCGGACATGCGCGCCGGGCCAACAGGGTCGACCGGTGGAGGCTCAGCAACCGGTGGCGTCCCCATCCCGCCGGTGCCCGACGTCGACGCGCGCCCCGACTTCTTCGCCGCTGAGGTCGATCGCGTGCGGTCGGCCCTGACTGAGGAGCAGCGCGCCCTTCCCCAGTACGCCCCCGACAACCACGCGGCGTGGACGGAGTATTTCCAGCGGCGGCAGGCACATCGGCTGGCGTCCACGAATGGGGCGCTGGTAGTGGGGGGCATCAAGAACAGCGACGGTCGCCGCCTCTGGTGGGGCGTCCTCGGCCGCACACTGCACGGGGTGCTGGAGTACCTCGAGGGCGGCAACAACCCGCCGCTGGCAAACCTTGCCGCGGCGTCTGCCCCCCTCCCCCCCCCCCTCCCGCCGAAGCGCCGGGCCATG